AAGCACATTACCCCCGTCTTGCTCTCTCTGCATTGGTGGCCGGTGTGTTTTAGAATAGAGTTTAAGAATTTAATCTTTGTTTTTAAGGTTTTCAATGGGTTGGCGCCTTCTTATTTATCTGAACTTGTGACTGTTAACATATCTAATAGATTTTCAAGGTCAGCAAATCAAATTCTGTTGAAGGTTCCCAGATCACGGTTAAAAAAAGCCCCAAATTGCCCCAAATTGTGGAATAATTATTCATTAACTATAAGGGTATTCGCTTTTTAAGACAGAACTCAAAACATACCTTTTAGAGAAGGCTTATAATATTTGAGTCTTTTGAGCTTGTTTTTTTTTTTCTGTATTTAAATGTATTTGAATTTTATTTTATTGTTTTGATTGGTGTTGTTTTCACAACTGTTGTACAACACAATGTTTAGCGACAGTTGTTTTATTGTGCTATATAAATAAACTCTTTTTTAAAAACTACTTTAGCAGAAAAAATAACACTTTAAATGTTGGAAAGACTTTTCTGGAGTTATGTATTTATTTTTGTGCCTTATGTGTGTAAACCTGATTTGCATTTCACATGTGAAGTGTTTATATAGTCGTTAATCATACAGAACCCTGTGCAGAGCTTTCTGGAGTGACTTCACACTGCAGGTAACACACTCTTTAAATCTCAATTAGTTTAGACTAATTAGCTATCGTATTAAATGTGTCTGAGTTTGGTTTGTTTGACCATTCACATTTAACACATTAGTAAAATGCATTCAAAGAATTAAAAGAAAAAAATGACGAGGGTTTTTTATGAACCTGAGCCTCTAACGCATAATCACTATGACATCTTTCTTGAATAAAATGTGCTGACATATACTCTCGCATTTACACATTATCTACACAATGAAGATGGGTGTGACTGAATGAGTGTAATTTGATTCATTATATCTCACCCTTTATCGTCTCGTCTAACACTTTATTTTTCTCTCTGTCTCCTTTGTAGATTACAATTGCACAATCACTTATTGATTCGAGAGGCACTGAGCATGAACATCTCCACTGAGTACTTCAACTCAACTGGAGTTCATCCTTTCACCATAATACAAGAAACTTTGATACTGAGGGGTTTCAGGATTGCTTTGCTTGGCTTTAATATACTGTTCGGACTTCCTACACACTCCTATGTTTTGTGGCTTATTGCACGAGAAAGAAGAATTCCTTCAGAAATCTTCAATCTCAATCTCACAGTTTGCGAAATAATTTACTCTTTTATTTTTCTTACACAAATATTACCAAGTCTAGAGTTATTATATCAGTTTTTACAAGGAATAGGCATCACTGGTCGTCCTCTGTTTCATTGTCTGATGTGTGTTGAGCGTTACCTGGCAGTGGTTCATCCTGTAACCTTTCTGAAGTTCAAACCTCTCAGATATAGAGTGATCTTCTGCACTGTGGTCTGGATAACCACTCTTGGATCATGTTTGGCTGTAATACAAATATTATCTAATCTGAAAACATATATATGGTTCTTCTCGATTCAGTTCCTCATCTTCTTCTCCATCCAGTTGTTTTGTCTTGTGGCTGTTCTCAGAGCTCTGAAGCAGTCAGGACCAGGAGAGAGAGGGAGAGAGAGAGAGGAGGAAAACCACATGAAGAGAAGAGCATTTCATCTCATTCTAATAACTACTGTTACTATGGCTGTCATGTTTGTACCTTTCGCTATCACTGGATTCCTCACTGTTCTGCAACAGCAAGAACAGCAAAAACTTTCACTGATGTGGTTTCTTGGTCCTTGTTGTTTCATTCTGTCTGGTTTTGTGCAACCTGTTCTTTATCTGCAGAGGGCTGGGAAACTCTTCTGTCTCTGTTCATCATAAAATGAAAATGCAAATGTTTTATACTGTACATTCTGTAACTGAACCTATTATTAATTTATATATTATAGTGAGTTGGTCATTTTAGCTAAATAACCCCAAAACAAAATGGTCAGAATAAAAGTTCAGCTTTGGAATGTTCTTTATGTAATTTCTAGAATCTAGACTGTTACGCATATGTATTTTTTAACAATAGAGGCTGTTCAAGCTTTAATTTACACTGCATGTGTGAAAATAAAATTGACAAAATAACAATATTATCTGTTACCAAGAATAAGCGAAGTCATCCATTGGTTTATAAACTGCTTTATAGATTTTAGTTTGCATGTTTTGGTTTAAAAATTCAGGTTTGTGTAAAGCTTTTCTGCTTTAATGATTATTATTATTTTTTTAAATGAATAGAAATGTTCAAGACAATTATATAAAAACAAACTGTGTTGTTTTCTATGCACATTAAATTAAATGTATAACTTAATAAAATGTATATGAATGTATTTGCATTTTATTCATTCATCATTTAGTTTGATATTTTATTAGGCTAAAACTCAGACTCAAAAACCCAGTCTCAATTTGTCATTATCTTTTGGTGACTTTCTCTACACCAAACCATTGAAATTGTTAAAGGGGTGATGAACTGTGAAATCAAATTTTTCTTTGAGCTTTTGAGATCTGAGAGGTCATCATATTATAAGAATATCCTGTAAGTTTCAGAACGGAAAACGTCCTTGTTAGTCCAATAAAAGCTTTTATTGACACCAGGCTCAGCAAACGACTCGTTTTTTAAAGTGGGGAACTATGACGTCAAAGAGGATAAAACACCACCACCGCAGAAGAAGATCAACACCTACTTCAACACGGCCGGTTTAGCACCGCCCACCGATTCACGCATTACACGTATACAGTAGCTAAATAACATAGGTCTACCTCGTGATGACAAACCGTGTCGAGAGTGAAACTCATTATAGTATGCAAAACTGTTATCCACTCACAGCAATGGCCGATTACTTCCAAGTCTTCAGTGTAAGACGGCCATAAAAACTGAGTTTTTGAGCTGGGCTCAAAACTAGGGTAGAAAATAGCCTATTACTTATTCATTTTGATGTTTTTTAATGTAAAAACCAAGCGAACGTAATAAGTTGAGCTCAGACAACAGTATAAAAAAAATAAAAAGCCGGTTCATGACCCTTTTAATTTATATTTATGTATATATTTATACACCAAATTTTAACATAAAAAGAAATCTTTGTATTAGGCTCTATTAAGAGTATCAAATGACATGTTATTATCTGTTGATGCTGTCAACTTTGCTGATTCTGCTATTGGTTTTGAGTGCAGTCTTTGATACGGCTGATCATGATATCCTTATTTCTTGTCTTGAACATTGTGCGGGTATTAAAGTTATGCACTGAACTGGTTCAAATCTTATTTGAACAATATAACTTTTTCAGTCTATATAAATGGATGTTTATCCACAAAATCACATTTGTCTTGTGGGGTTCCCCAAGGATCTATTATTGGCCCCATTTTGTTTTCTTTATATATGCTCCCTTTGCGCTCAATATTTAGAAAACACAGAGTGTTATTCCATTGTTATGCAGACGACACTCAAATACTGTATGTGTGCCCATTAATGACAATCCTGGTCTATGTGCTTTAACTGCCTGTTTGTCAGACAGTGGCATGGATGTCTTTTTTTTATTAATCTCAATGAGAGTATGACTGAGGCAATTGTGTTTGGACCATTAGTTGTCTCTGACAGCTTAAATCAAGTCTTGGTCAGCTTAGCTGCTTATGAAAAGCCACCTGTTAAAAACATGGGTGTTGTCTTCAACTCTGTCCTGTCATTTGATAAGCATGTAAATGCAGTAGTAAAATTTGTGCTTTTTATGGATAATACTACTGGCTAAGTTTAAAAAAAAAGTTTAACCCATAGTGAGTTTGAGAGAGTAATACATGCATATATAATATAATATAATATAATATAATATAATATAATATATATATATATATATATATATATATATATATATATATATATATATATATATATATATATATATTAATCCTATGAACCGTTTGCAGTACAAAATGCAGCTCTTAGACTAACTGGCACACGTAAAAATAAGCACATTACCCCCGTCTTGCTCTCTCTGCATTGGTGGCCGGTGTGTTTTAGAATAGAGTTTAAGATTTTAATCTTTGTTTTTAAGGTTTTCAATGGGTTGGCGCCTTCTTATTTATCTGAACTTGTGACTGTTAACATATCTAATAGATTTTCAAGGTCAGCAAATCAGAATCTGTTGAAGGTTCCCAGATCACGGTTAAAAAAAAGGGACCATAGTCAGCCCCAAATTGTGGAATAATTATTCATTATCTATAAGGGTATTCGCTATAGAATCTCTTTTTAAGACAGAACTCAAAACATACCTTTTAGAGAAGGCTTATAATATTTGAGTCTTTTGAGCTTGTTTTTCTCTGTATGTAAATGTATTTTACAACTGTTGTACAACACAATGTTTAGCGACAGTTGTTTTATTGTGCTATATAAATAAATAAACTTTTTTAAAAACTACATTACCAGAAAAAAGAACACTTTAAATGTTGGAAAGGTTTTTCTGGAGTTCTAATATATTTATTTTTGCACCTTATGTGTGTAACCCTAGTTTGCATGTCACATGTGAAGTGTTTATATAGCCGTGGTCTTATATCTTTAATCATACAGAACCCTGTGCAGAGCTTTCTGGAGTGACTTCACACTGCAGGTAACACACTCTTTAAATCTCGATTAGTTTAGATTGATTAGCTATCATAGAAAATGTGTCTGATTCTGATTTGTTTGACCATTCACATTTAACACATTAATGAAATGCATTCAAAGAAGTAAAAGAAAAAATGACGAGGGTTTTTATGAACCTGAGCGTCTAACGCATAATCACTATGACATCTTTCTTGAATAAAATGTGCTGACATATACTCTCGCATTTACACATTATCTACACAATGAAGATGGGTGTGACTGAATGAGTGTAATTTGATTCATTATATCTCACCCTTTATCGTCTCGTCTGACACTTATATTTTTCTCTCTGTCTCCTTTGTAGATTACAATTGCACAATCACTTATTGATTCGAGAGGCACTGAGTATGAACATCTCCACTGAGTACTTCAACTCAACTGGAGTTCATCCTTTCACCATAATACAAGAAACTTTGATACTGAGGGGTTTCAGGATTGCTTTGCTTGGCTTTAATATACTGTTCGGACTTCCTACACACTCCTATGTTTTGTGGCTTATTGCACGAGAAGGAAGAATTCCTTTAGAAATCTTCAATGTCAATCTCACAGTTTGCGAAATAATTTACTCTTTTATTTTTCTTACACAAATATTCGCAAGTCTAGAGTTATTATATCAATTTTTACAAGGACTAGGCATCACTGGCCGTCCTCTGTTTCAGTGTCTGATGTGTGTTGAGCGTTACCTGGCAGTGGTTCATCCTGTAACCTTTCTGAAGTTCAAACCTCTCAGATATAGAGTGATCTGCTGCACTGCGGTCTGGATAACCACTCTTGGATCCTGTTTGGCTGCTATGATCATACAAATAGTATCTAATCTGAAGACATATTCATGGTTCTTCTCGCTGCAGTTCCTCATCTTCCTCTCCATCCAGTTGTTTTGTCTTGTGGCTGTTCTCAGAGCTCTGAAGCAGTCAGGACCAGGAGAGAGAGGGAGAAAGAGAGAGGAGGAAAACCACATGAAGAGAAGAGCGTTTCATCTCATTCTAATAACTACTGTTACTTTGGTTGTCATGTTTGTACCTTTCGCTATCACTGGATTCCTCACTGTTCTGCAACAGCAAGAACAGCAAGGAATTTTACCGATCTGGTTTCTTAGTATTAGTTGTTTCATTCTGGCTGGTTTTGTGCAACCTGTTCTTTATCTGCACAGGGCTGGGAAACTCTTCTGTCTCTGTTCATCATAAAATGAAAATGCAAATGTTTTATACAGTACATTCTGTAACTGAACCCATTATTAATTATAGTGAGTTGGTAATTTTAGCTAAATGAACCCAAAACAAATTGGTCAGAGTTTAGCTTTTGAATGTTCATGTTATTGTAGAATTTGGACTATTAAGTATATGTATAACCCCTGAGGGTGTTCAAGCTTGATTTACTCTATCTTTGTGAAAATAAAATTGTGACAATTTAATCTGTTACTGAGAATAAGTGAAGTCACCCATTGGTTTGTACATTTTAAAATGAAGGTTTGTGTAAAGCTTTTCTGTTTTAATGTTTTTTTTTTTATGTATGAATGTTCAAATAAGAAATTTCTTATACAAAAAAAAAAAAAACTTGTTTTCTACGCACAATAAACCAAAACTTTCTATGTATTGCATTTTAACCTGTTAACTGTCACCCCCCCTTTTTTGAATAGACATGAAAATGCACATTTCGAACTTAAATGGTTGTAATTCAAGAATGCTTTGGAATATAGACATATGATTGGTCTTGTTTTAAAGAAGACATTTGGCAGATTTTTGTAGAAGTGAAATAAATTAAGAAAGTGAAACAGAAAAAAAGTTATAGAAGTTTGAGTTTATGGAAATGTACAATGTAAAAATATTAATTATTCATATTTTACATAAAATATATATTTTCAAAACCTGGGCTACTCTAAAATGGCAGAAAGATCAAAGCCAAAAATCTGAACAAGTTGTGTTTCAAATTTTAGGTTGATATCTCAAAAAATGAGCTTTCAGTAAGATTTTGTTTGAGCGCAGTACCAAACTTTTTCACTAGGGCACAATCAGACTCCATTACTGCCCATATAAGGGCGCCTGCATTTCCACTCGTGTTTTGAGTGATATGAACCATTATTTTCACAATTTTCATACAATTTCTGAAGTAGAGATCCTATTCAGAAGTAGTATGGGAAGTTTGGCAGATTTTGATATGAATTGAACCTCTAAGAAACACATACAAAGAACACGCATGTAAGTCATAGCTAGCTGCCACGTCACAAATGGTGAATTTATTATTTTTTTCTTGATTTCAAACTTTTCAGACCTTTTTTTTCCAAAATAATTGAATGGATTCTATCTTTTGAACTTTTGGCATGAAAACAAACTGAGGTATCTACCATTTTTTCATGATTTTTCATGTTTACTGCTATTTTAAAATAAAGGTCTGAACACGCCTTATGAGTATGAAAATATTCTTGTTTTATATTGATAAATTATGGCTCCTCTGTAATATATTTTGAAAATCAGTCACCAAATATGGAAACTAGAGATTGTAAGCTTTCAAATGATATATAGTTTGTCAATATTATTTAAGGTATTTACTAAGATATTATTGTTTTAAAAATATAGTGGCAAACGTCCCACCTGTGGGACGGTGACAGTTAATTAACATTACACATCAGTTTGGTATTTTTTTAGGCTAAAACTGTCTCACATTTTCATTATCTTTTGGTAATTTTCTCTACACCAAACCACTGAACATTTTTATTTATGGATAATTACAAAATTTTCAGGGATTCTGATATATTTTTCTTTTTGCACCTAACGTGTAGACTATAACCCTGATTTGCATGTTACATGTGAAGTGTTTATATAGCCGTGGTCTTATATATTTAATCATACAGAACCCTGTGCAGAGCTTTCTGGAGTGACTTCACACTGCAGGTAACACACTCTTTAAATCTCAGTTAGTTTTGATTGATTAACTATCGTAGAAAATGTTTCTAATTGGATTTTTTTGACCATTTCGATTTTACACGTTATTAAAATGCATTCAAAGGACAGATAGTAAAAGAAAAAATGACAAGGGTTTTGTGAATCTGAGCCATGAACTCTTATGCATAAACATGGATCTTGACTTCTTTCTTGAATAAAATGTGCTGACATATACTCTCAAATCTACACATATATTTACAATGTAGAAAGACTGTGATTTGATTCATTCAGTCTCACCATTTATAGTCACGTCTGACGTTTTCTCTCTGTCTCTTTTGTAGATTACAATTGCAGAGTTATTTATTGATTAAAGAGGCACTGAGTATGAACGTCTCCACTGAGAACTTCAACTCAACTGAGGTTCATCCTTCCACCTATTTGATAAACAATGAAGCTTTATTAGTGAAGGGTCTCAAGACTGGTTTGCTATGCTGTAATCTGCTTTTTGGACTTCCTACACACTCCTATATTTTGTGGCTTATTGCACGAGGAAGAAGAATTCCTTCAGAAATCTTCAATCTCAATCTCACAGTTTGCGATATTATTTACTCTCTAGGTTTTTTTCTTTTTCTTTCACAAATATTCCCAAGCATAGTGTTACTATATCGGTTTTTACAAGGACTAGGCATCACTGGTCGTCCTCTGTTTCAGTGTCTGATGTGTGTTGAGCGTTACCTGGCAGTGGTTCATCCTGTAACCTTTCTGAAGTTCAAACCTCTCAGGTATAGAGTGATCTGCTGCACTGCGGTCTGGATAACCACTCTTGGATCCTGTTTGGCTGCTATGTTCATACAAATAGTATCTAATCTGAAGACATATTCATGGTTCTTCTCGATTCAGTTCCTCCTCTTCTTCTCCATCCAGTTGTTTTGTCTTGTAGCTGTTCTCAGAGCTCTGAAGCAGTCAGGACCAGGAGAGAAAGGGAGAGGGAGAGAGGAGGAAAACCACATGAAGAGAAGAGCGTTTCATCTCATTCTAATAACTACTGTTACCATGGCTGTCATGTTTGTACCTTTCGCTATCACTGGATTCCTCACTGTTCTGCAACAGCAAGAACAGCAAGAAGTTTCATGATCTGGTTTCCTAGTCTCAGCTGTTTCATTCTGACTGGTTTTGTGCAACCTGTTCTTTATCTGCAGAGGGCTGGGAAACTTTTCTGTCTCTGTTCTTGAACAAGTGAATGTTTCCATCCTTTGAATAAACTTTAATTTACACTCTGTTTTCTATGCAAATTATACTAAAATGAAAGGAGGTTGCATAGTAAAAGAATGGTTACAATGGTTGCATAGGTGCACAGGAACAATCCTTTATAAAATGCATAAAACTTTAATTTAAGAAGACGTGAAACTCACCGAGTGGTCTGGGGTGTTCACTGATATGCTCACACAAAAATCGCTGCAAAAGATGCTTTCCAACAGGTTTTATTGTAGTTTTTGTACTCCATTGACTTGTATTGTATGTTCTGTGATGTACGGTATTACTCCGCCGCGGGAAACGGAAATGGGGTTGTTTGTATTCTTTCTGTAGTCTTACGCAGTCACGGTATGGTAGGCTACACTATTCAAGTGCTTTACTTCCAATCGACAAAGGTGCATTATCGCCACCAACTGGGCTGGAGTGTCTATTATTCAAGCTCTCAACGGAAGAATGTACGGTTGTGTGGCATTCGGAAAAATTGGTCTACAGTTTTGCAAAGAATGGTAAAACACCTGTTGGAAAGCATATTTGCAGCGATTTTTGTGAGCATATCAGTGAACACCCCAGACCACTCGGTGAGTTTCACGTCTTTGTAAACTAAAAATGTATGCGTTTTATAAAGGATTGTTCCGATGCACCTGCTACCATTGTAGAGGTGTGGGGGTGCTACCACAGAAACCGAAAATTCTCGGGACAGCAGCATCTGTCTAAAAAAACAATCTTAACCATTCTATTTTATCAGAAACGATCTAAAAACAGGGCTTTAATTGTAAATACATAACTTGTCCTTTAAACAATATCTGATCTCACTGTTGCATGTTAAAGGGATAGTTCACCCCACAATGAAAATTCTGTCAGTATTTATTCACCCTCATGTTGTTCCAACCTGTAAGACCTTCGTTCATCTTCAGAGCACAAATGAAGATATTTTTGATTAAATCTGAGAGCTGGATCACCCCTTTAGGGATCGAAACTAGCCAGCCCAAAAGTTATGAAAGACAGTGTTAAAATAATCCGAGTGACTGCAGTGGCTCAATCTTAAGTTTATCAAGCGAAGAGAATACTTTTTGAAAACTCGAGATTTCACGTAGTGTAACTGCGCAATGATAGGTTGTACGTCACACGCATCACACTCATCATGACCAGCGTCCTATAGCGTCGGCCAATAGTAAGCCTTCGTGTCACAAACAGCATTGCGCAGTTCCATGCAGTGGTGTAGTCGAGACCACCTCACTCGAGTCCGAGTCGACACCGAGACCAGAGAGAGTCGAGTCCGAGTCGACACTGAGACCAGAGAGAGTCGAGTCCGAGTCAAGACCGAGTCCATAGAGAGTCGAGTCCGAGTCGAGTCCGAGACCAGAGACGGTCGAGTCCGAGTCGAGACCGAGACCAGTGAGGGTTGATTACCTAATATACTTTTATTTACTTAGAGAAATCCTTTTCTTTTTTTTTTTACTGAATATGATCAGTTTAGGGTAAAAAGGCCACATAGTAGGTGGTGTTAAAAGTAATTTTATTACAATTTGTCATGCGCAGTTGCGCACTAGAAAATCACCAATCACTGGGCGTGTCAATCAATTTAAAGAAATATTTTATTAACATACATTAATAATCATGAAAAATATTTTTAATTGAACTCGAGTGGACTCGGGAATAATTCCGAGTCCTAAAAAAAAAAATGTTCGAGTACGAGTCAATTCCGAGTCCAAATGGACACGGGTCCATGACAAGACCAAGACCATTAAAATATGGTCTCGAGACCGAGTCCGAGACGAGTCCGAGTCTCGAGTACTACAACACTGGTTCCATGACATGAAATTGCGAGGCCCACAGAGAAGGAAATGAATAATTGAATAACTTCGTTATTTAATTATTTGTTTATAGTTCGTGCACAAAAAGTATTCTCGTTGCTTGATAGCCACTGTAGTCACTTGGAATGTAGTACTGCAGTAACGATGTCTTTAATAACTTTTCGAGGCCGGCAAGACTCAATCCATCAAGCAGCCATATGGACTAGTATGGAGGAGTGATCCAGCTCTCAGATTTAACCACAAATAACTTAATTTTTGTCCCAAAGATGAAGCAAAGTCTTACGGGGTTGGA